TTGGCAGCTTATCACTTTCTTAATTTTAAAAGAATAACAACTTTTTTTCATATAGAAATGAAATGGAAGTACTACTAAAAACCAATATGAAATGCACACTTGGAAGACTAAGGACCTGAAATATCTAGAATATAAAAATTATTGAACCTTAAAGAATCCTTTATATTGTTTTTTCTCTCTAAAACCCTCTTTTTAAAGGGAATGTCATTCAGAAGCTGCATTTATAAAACAGCAGAGTTGGAGTGTTCTTGCTGGGGTGGGGGGGACTGAGCTTCCAGGGCTGTGCCTACTTACCCCATAAGGACCTTGAACTATTGGAACCATGAAGGTCCCTACTCCATGACATTGTATGTTGTATTTCTGCATAAATGATTTAAAACAAGTATAGAGCATAGTCCCAAAGAGACATTTGCATTTACTCTTCTTGCAAATTCTTCCCCTTCAACACCTAGCTACTCTGAGTTGTGGTAGCTCTGAATTGTCTACACTGGAACCATTTTCTCACTTTTTGATGAGGAGGGCTGGGGAGCCAGTTTGGGGTTAGGGTTGTTTTCCTGTGATCCAGGTTACTCTGAAACTTCCCCTATTTCTCTCAGCCTGTGTCTCTGTGTGCTTAGGTGAAAACTCAAGTTGGTGCTTCTAGTTTCTACATAATTTACTGTTTCACCAAATCACATAGCTAATGTGCATCCCTTTAGAGATTGGCCCTGTCATAGCAGTTCATTCACTCTTCACTGAATGCCTGAAAATATAATATGTGGGCAGTCCACAAAATTTCATGATATATTACCACTGTCCTTTTAAAATGCTATGTGATTGTTGAAACCATTGAAGTTTTCCTTCAAATTGAATTTAATAAGATTACATAAATGTCTGTACAGTGTGACAACCTCTAATAGTTGTTATGAAGGCCACCTCTTTTAGACATAAAAGAGTGATGTTCCTAACCTTTTTACAGAATTAAGACTCTCATTTAGTAGGATGATGGTGATAAGATAGACTCTTGGTCTGTTCCTAGAAGTGTCTCTTTTATGTTAAACCACTCTTGTGAAAAATTAACATGCTATTAGCATATATATTAAAGGACCCTCTGAGGATTCAGCAATCAATTGAGAATGATGACTTAAGGCAATTTTCCAGAACATTCCTCCATTCCTTATTATGTATCTTTTAGTTGATGTTCTCAAAGTGTGGTCCTGGGACCCCGGAGTGTCCCCAAGACGCTTTGAATGGATCTACAAGGTCAAACTATTTTTATAGTAACTCTAAAGTGATATTGCCTTGTTCATTCACCTTCTTACATGTGTGGGACTTTCTAAAGAAGCTACTTACAAAATTCTAAAGCAGTGTTATTCTTGGGAAATTTATTTTGCTTTGGAATATAGGGTTTTTCCCCCTACCTTAAAGCTGTTTGTTTATATTGGTATGGGCTTGTTTATTTTTTGTAATTAATATTTTAGAGAATTATCAGTTTTCACTTTTGTGTGGTCCATATCAAAAGATACAATCCATATGAACAAAAGCTTTTGACACAGATATTGGAATACTGCTCTACATGTTCCTTATTCAGGGTCTTATGTAGGGATTTACTTTGTTGAGGCTTACTTGACTACTTACCTGGTGGTCTAAGAAAGGTATGCTTTTTGTAACTTCAGACTATATTTTAAAAGGCTTTTGTCCCACTCCACTGGAAGGTGGGAATCATTGTGTGTGGGCATGGACCTGGGAACTGTGCCATGTAAGTGCAAAGTAGTCATAGAATCTAATACCAGGTAGGCTGGTATTAGATTCTGTGACTAATGTATCATTTAGCCAGTCACAGGTTGTTATTTTATGATATTAACTTCACCACATCTGACAGGAACATGGACATGTTCACTATGTTTAGATTTCTTAATTTTTAAGTGCACTTAACTGTGTACTTATGCTTTTCTTATTTTTGTATATATTTCTTGCCCTCCTATTTCTATATCGATTGGTTTTAGAAAGTTACATTGTCTTTCTATCATGAAAGGTCAGGATTTAGTGTTCCAATGCCTCTTATCTTTCCACATTTCCCCTTCTCTCCAATTTTTTCATTAGATGACTAATTAATTTACTGCATTATGCACATCAAGTAATGTAAATGCCACTTATGGACGTGTCTAAGTTCTAGCATTGCAAATCTCGAGTAACGCTAATTTTTCCTAAAATAAATATTTGCTACTACCTGAGTTGGCCTAGGTTTCTGTGTTTTGATATCTGATTCTTAACCAATTCTGCATTAAAATTCAAACTCTTGGGACTAGAGACTTGGCTCAGGGGTAGACTACTTGTGAAGCATGTTTTGCATATACAAGGACCAGGTTCAACCCCCAGCACAACTTATTTATCAAGGATTTCACCTGAAATCTTCTGAACACTGTCAATATGTGAAACTATTTGAGTGATGTTTCATCCCTCAGTCTGCCCTCTGCACTGGCTCAGTTCCATGCTAAACACAGAGGAAATAAGTCAGTAAATAAATAAGTAAATAAAATAAAACTCAAACTCTTCTCAATGTTTACAAAGCACATAGGTAGTTTTTTTTTATTATTCATCTTTGCTTCTTTTCATAGAGTCATTCTTCTGAGCTTTCCATCCTCTTGCTGAAGTCAGGTTGGGTGATTCTCTGAATTCCTATGTAGGGACTTCTTTTTAAATACAACAACAACAAAGACAATAAAAGTGGATTCCTTTTTCTCCTCTTCTGTATGGGATTCCTTTTTTCCTATAGTCATATCTTACTCTTTATTTGCTTTGGCAGAGTAAAAGAATGTATAGATGTGGGTGGTGCACATTTTGAAACTGTAATCATATCAAGCCCACTACATCATGTATGTGGTATTATTTCTATTTATTCGTCTCTTTTCAGTGTTCTTAACAGTGTTCTGTAGTTTACAATATGGCAGTCTGGGAAGTGTTGGTAAGTGTATTTTCTAGGTATTTTGTTTTTCACAATAATAGATGCTTCTAAAATTTTATTTTTCAATTGATTGGTGCTAAAATAGAAAAATATAGTTTTTAAAATTAATTCTGTGACTTTACTAAATTCACATATCAGTTGTAAAATTATTTTAAAAATCACTTAAATATTTTATATAGGAAATTGTCATGTGTGCATAGAGCAGTTTTACCTCTTACATTTTGATATTCATGTCTTTTTTCTTGTCTTATCAGATGGGATAGAAATTCTGTGTATATTTTCAGAAGCAGAACACATATGCTTTTAGGCACTTGCTCATGTTTGTGATAACTCCATGTATTTTGATTAGCAGTAGATTATTCCTTCTCAGTGCTTTATACTATTCCCTTGTATGACTGACTGTGCTATTTATTTATCTACTTTGATGTTAATAGGTGTATGCATTTTCAGGTTAAGGCTGTTACAAGCAGTGTTTCTATGAGCATTCTAGTCTGTGGCTTTGAGTGAACATGTATTTGTATTTCTACTGGCTTTGCATTCCAAAGTAGACTTGCTGTGTCATTCACTGTGGGTGTATTCTCTTAAAATACTTACAAAATGTTTTATCATTACTGTTCTTCTATTGCATTTTTAATGATTTCCCAGGAAAGAGGAGATGAATGCGTGAGTTTAATTTTCATATCAAATTAAACCTTAGGCGTATGCATCCCTTTCAACTTCTGCTCCTTGTATTTGTCCTTTAAACTACTCATCAGGACTTGAGTCAGAACGCACATGGACTCTACTTTGTTTGTAACCAGAAGGGGACTATGACTTTCATCTCTTTATTCTTCTCTTGTCTAGTTTCTTGCCCTTTCTCACGGGGTCAAGGAACCCACAGATCTTGCCCCAGGATCCCAAACTGGTATCTCAGGAACATCTCCTGTTTCTTGTTTCCTTTGGTCAAGTGCCTACTGGAAGCTTGCTTGGCCTTTACACAACTAAGGCACATGCTCTTTTGGCAGTCGGAGGCATTTCGAAGACCAAGGCAATTAGGACGGAAGAAATCCTTTCACTCCTCTGTGACTCTAGCAGCCTCCTCTGTGTTTTGCATGGAACTGATCCTGTACAGAGGGCAGACTGAGGGATGAAATAGTTTCACATATTGACAGTGTTCAAAGGATTTCAGGAGAAATCCTTGATAAAACTAAGATTTGGGGATTTCCAGAAGAAGCCGCCTCTATGTTAACCACTATTTAAGAAGAAACCCCCCGCCCCAATTCAGGTGTCTAAACACAGAATTTCAATTATAAGGAATATAAAATGAACCCCACTGTTAAACTGAGAATATTAAAATTAATTGATTTTTAAATCGACACTTTTCATGTTTCCTAGACCCTGAAGAATGATTTATTTAGGCTTTTAAGTAAGGAAATCTAAACCTTTATCCTAAAACTACTACATGACAGTTAGGGCTTCAGGTTTTTTTACATAGCCTCTCTTACCCTCAGTTTACTCTTTTATAAAACGGGGCTAATGGAATGCAGGTTAGTTGTCAGGATCATATGAGATCAGGTAAAATGCCCAGCATAGAGAGTGTTACATAGCAAGTCTCTGTAACAGATGGTTTCCTATTATTATTTTAAGAACAGTGTGAAGTTATGTTTTCTTTGCTTTTTAAAATGTGATATTGGTGTAGAGTAACAAAACAAAGATGATTAAAAACATATAAGCAAAGTTGACACAGGAAGAACAATTGAAGAATTTCAGCCTTGGGAAATGTATGTATAAAGGATATATGCTAATGAACTTAAAGCAGAGCTTTTATTCAGTATTCAGCCTTAATATGGTTATTACAAATCTAAGGCAAAAAAAAAAATCTCTCTCTTATAACACTGGATGAAAGTAAAGCACTAATGACCAATTGCTTTAAATATTTATAGAAAGTATCATGGAGGATGTAAGGGACAGGAAGGAGAGAGTTCCTCTGGGGATCTCCAAGGAATGCTTCACAGCCACTCTGGAATCGCCTCTACCCTGGGAATGGTCAACTCATTTTGTACTGTTGTTTCTCCAGGGAGAAGTTGGCTGTGGCCCGACTACAGCGAGAAGTTGCCCAGAGAACCAGCGAGGGGGCCATGGTGAGTTCTGACTGGTCTGAACCTCCTGTTCAGAGGTCTCTGGCTTCAAGGTCATCTTGTCCTTTTAAAGATACTAAGCAAAATATTTGTTGCAGCAAACTTAATGACTCTTTGGTAAATGATACATTTATAGTGCAGTTTAGGCTGCTCTATCATTTGCAGAGAAAAAGAGATTAATTGACAGGAAAACTACTTGGGCTTTGAAAAAAAAATGTTCAAATATTCAAAGGCTTGTAATGCTTTATTTCGAAAAGCTCCACTGGCTGCCCAGGCTTCCAGCTGTGAGCACAAGGTCCATAAATGAGTAATCTTAGATTTTCAGATAAGAATGTTTAACATAATTCAACCCTCTTAGTTCTCTGACCTTAAACAAATAACTGAAAAAAAGTATCAAGATGCTTGCTAATGTAATTGTCTTTTATTCTATTCCTTCTCTCCACTATTTGCAATATATTTCTCCCTGTCGTTTTCAGCTTGTGCCATTTAGAAAAGGGATGTTTCCTTGTGGTTTGAATTGTACTAAAAATCAATGTGGTTGTTTTGGTCCCTAGCAACTTCATTTTATAGACTGTCTTTGCCAAAGTATTTGCCCAGGTGACACTATAATATCCGAGATGACTGTCTCTGATACCCAGGGAATGCATGTGTGTAGATTAACTGCTATTGCTACCTCTGAGAAGAAAATATGACACCAAACTTATTTTTCCCCACTTATGACAAAGCAGTGGGTATGTGTGTAATTTTTCAGCTGAAGATTTTTTTTTTTTTTAAAGCGAACCGACACATTTTCAGCCCCTGAAAGGCTGTTTCCATTTGATTTGTGGGGGTAAATTGATAATGCATCCACTGAAAGAGTAAGAAGTTTGTGAAATATACTGTCCTCTCACTTCTCCCATGATTGGAGTGAGAGGCTGAATGCTAAGTGGACTCTGTAAGGTAGAGTGGCCTGAGAACTTGCCCAAATCCTAGGGAAGGTGATTGCATTGCCTGTTTTGCTATTGATCATAATGCAAAAAGAATCTTGAATGTTCAGGCAATTTGAAGCAGCCACTCACAAACATTGTTGAGCAATGAAATGGAAAAAAAGTTGGAAAAAATAAAGATCTAGCTGAATGGTGAACTGAACATTTCCAATCTAGAGTTCTGGCTGCATTTAGAAATGTTGACAGGCAAGGCCGATCTGTTAATACTTTAGTCCTCTGGGATGAGCTCCTGCTTACCACTTCATCAGCTGTGCTTGAGTTGAATGTGAGGAGGTGCCTTTCCTAGGTCTCGGTTTTCTCATCTTGAAAATGAGGAGGTTGAAATTTTATGATTCCCTTAGCTCAGTGGGTCATGCTGCCAAACATTTGCCCATGTAAAGGTTTTATGATGCGCAGCTTTTTTTCTGGTAATAACTAAATATTATTGAAGCTCAGAAAAGCAAAGACCTTGGAACAATGAAGTTTCACTCTTTCTGACTCTGATGTTGAATGTGCCTGATGTGAAGTGATTGCAGATGGATAAATGTCTACTCTTGTACAAAAACAAAACCTTCTTTTAAAACACGTTAGAAGTAATGGTTCAGTGCGAAAAAAAGAGCAAAAACAGAAAATCTGGATACAAATAGAAAGAAGCTGACTTTGTAGAAGTTACGAGTTACCCATGTTCTCTTACTGTATTTTGATGATGTTATTGAAAATGACAATTTTATACTGATATATTAGAAAGATAATTATTGAGCAGCTGCTATATGCCTGGTGCTATCAAAAACAGTAGTGATTAAAACAGGCAAAAATCTGATTATTATAGTGCAGTGGTTGGGTAAACAGATATCCAATATGATTAAAATGTTAGCTGGTGGAAGGAGGTATGAGAAAATAAAACGGCAAAATGGGAGATCCAGGGGTCTAGGGGGCTTACCATTTTAAGTAGAATATGCACAGTGATGAATCACTGAAAAGTTAATATTTGAGTAAATCTTGAAGAGGAAGTGGAGTTTTCTCCCAGGGATATCTGGAGGAGGGCAGGATATCCAGGCAGGCAGCTTAGTTAATACAAAGGTGGGCCAGAGCCCAGGGAACTGTGTGGGCAAGGTTGGCTGCAAGGGATTCCAAGAGAGGGGAAATTGGAGGAGAAAGTCAGAAGAGATGGGAGCAGAGGAGTCAGCCCCTCAGGTCCCCATGAATCACTGGTGCGTGCTTTCTGTGAAAGGAATCATTGGGAGTCTAGGGACAAGGCAGTGACATGCTATGGATCAATGCCATTCATGTCCCTGTCATCTCCCATTCCATCCTTAATTATACCTCGGTTCCTTTGAGACACCATCATCTCTAAGTTTCATTACTTTTATTTTCTACTCCTTTCTCATTTTTCTTTTTTTCCTTATATAGACAATCTTTTGAGTTTTGTAATTTATGTTTCAGCTTTTCTGCTCCTGCAGTTCTTCATTTCTAAAGCCTTCATTCTTTAAGTATCTGAGAACTCCTAAAACAAGGCAGTTCTTTTAAATCCTTTAAATTCAGTTCTTGCTGCTAGAAATTTTTCTGTGGAACTTGTTTCATCTTCAGCAGAAGTGGAGAGATTGCCTCAACCAGATCACCTTATGCTTTCAAAAACCACTGTTCCCCATTTTCTGTTTTTCCACATGAAAGAAAAAATGGGATGAGAAAAAAAATGTAAAAGGTTTACTTAAAAAGCCATATGAATGAATTGAGGCAGATATTTATTTTTAGAAATCATCAATAAATTTGTTATAATCAAAGTCCTTAATGCAAAATAGGCTCTTTTTAAAATTTGCTTTTATGTATAGATCTCTTCACTTATATGTTTTCAGACTGTTCCAAGGCACCATTTTGAAAAATTAATGTTTTAATAATTTCTTTATTTAGAATAATTTTAGATTTACAGAGCATTGTGAACTTGCCTATTGTTTGCCGTAACATTAACACCATACATAACTGTGGGATAAATGTCAACATGGTGATGAATATTGGCATATTATTATTAAACAACATCTCTAATAGAGTTTCACCAGTTTTCCCACCTTGTCGGGGTTTTTAGCCCCTCATTCCCTCCTGACCTGTGGGAGAGATTGGGGAGCATGCCCCGACCAGGACAGGCCAAGAAAGGTAAAGGTCGACTGGTTGCCCCCACCCAGCCCTCCCTCCCTGGAGGACAATCAGAGGTGCCAAGGAGAACTGTCAAAGCAGGATCTTGTTTAATGAGAAAACATACACAGCTAATATAATGTACAGGAGCCAATCAGGATAAAGGTCAGCAGGGTGCGGAGAGTTTACATCTACACCTATCCTACGGGTAGTAATGTCTGTGAGGGCAGAAGGGTTCTGAGCCTATCCTAGAGGTGGTCCGATTCTTCATCACAACCCAGGGCAATGTCTTCTGGCTAATCGCTAGGTGCTCTCTTAGCCACATGTGGCCCCAAGACTGGGAAGCGGGTAGCAGCCAACAAATTAAGTTTCCTTTTTTCTGATGCAACATGCCCCATGTTACATCATGCCCTACACCACCTATGTCCTCTTTTCTGACCTAGGATACTACCCTGGATTACACATTGCATGTAGAAAGGATTGTTTTTAGTGGCTAGCTGAACACATATGTGGAATTAAAACCAGAGCTCGGGGTGAGGCAGGTCTGGATTCAGTGTATATCTCCACTGGTGGTTAATGATGTTACCTTGGATACATTGCTACTTTTTGTCAGTTCTGTTTGTGATTCTGTTCTACTATCTCAGATCTTAATTTTAGGATACTTCCAGCATATCGAATGCTTTATTTATTTTTTCTTTCATTCTCACTTTCAAGAAATAACTCTCACCAGTATTTTTCATATTTTGATTATTTTGCATTAACTCTCTAAGATCGTTCATCTTCCTTCTGTGAGATTATTCCATCTTGTGGTCCATTCCACAGACTTAGTGTACTACAAGTTCTGTTCTGTCTTTAAACTTCCATGTCATTTTAACTTTTTTATGGATAAAAAATATCCATTTCATCTGTTATGGTTTGGATATGAGTTGTCCCCCCAAAACTCATATGTGTGTGTGCAATTCAAGAAAGTATAGAGGAAAAATGTGCTAATCAGTGCATTAATCCCCTGATAGAGATTAACTGGGTGGTAACTGTAGGCATGTAGGGTGTGGCGAGAGTAGGTGGGTTCTTGAGGGTTGTGCCTTTGGGGTTTACTTTTTGTACCTGGTGACCAGAGTTTTCCCTCTTCTTCCTGATGCCAAATCTTGAGCTGATTTCCTCCACCACACCCTCCCACCATAATGTTCTGCCTGGCTGAAGCAATGGAATTGCCATCTATGGACCAAGAACTCTAAACTGTAAACCAAACAAACTTTTCCTCCTCTCCTTGTTCTTGACAGACATTTTGGTCACATCAGTGATAAAGCTGATTAAAACACCACCCCAAGGGTATAAATTCATTCATTCTCAGTATCTTTTATATTTTTATATTATATTTTTTATATTTTATATTATATTTTTATAATATATCTTTTATGTTTATAATTTTTGGGTTTTTTTCTATGTAAATCTTCACAAATTCTAGGGAGTAATGCTTGGCATAATGTAAGGATCGGAAAAGATTTGGTTTTTTTTTACCAAACTGATAATTAATTTTCTAGCATCATTACTGAACAATGTAACCTTTACTATCTCTACCCTTATCTAGTATTCCCAAAATTAATATTAACCAAGGTCAGCAATGGGAATGCTGATATTTTTCCATTTAAAGTACTGTTATACAAACTGGTCTCCAAAAAAAATAAATAAATAAAAGAATATCCCCTACTCACTTTTTAAAAATAAACTCATTTCAGAAAAGAATTTCAGGTAGTATAAAACATTCCCATATACCCCATATCCTGTTTCCCCTATTAAGACCTTACATTAGTACACTAGTCCATTTGTCACGATTCATGAGCCAATGTGATAATATTGTGTTAATAAACTACATATTTCACCAGATTTCCATCATTCTAATGTCTTTTTGTT